TCTTCTGGGTCCCCAACATGGGAGCAGGGGCCCAAGCACTTAGGTCATCTTCTACTGATTTCCCAGGCCATAGCAGAGAGCTGGATCATAAGTGGAACAGCCAGGACTTGAACTGGTGCCTATATGTAATGCCGACGCCACAGGCAGAGGCTTAGCCCACTATGCTACAACACCCGCCCCAAGGGAGCCTTTTAAAGTTAGGGCTGAGAGCAAACCAACAATGCCACCAGTTCTCTGCAGTTTGCCTGCTTGCTCCTCCCATGTTTCTGTGCATTTTGGGAATGCGCGTAATATCTTCAGAACAAACATGCAATGGTGTCTTGCTTATTTAGCAGGCGTTCGTGGCCAAGTTTATAGTCAGGATTCCCAGTGAAAACCCAGAAGTTGACGGCTTCCTTTGCTGTGGTGGAGATATGCCGAGGAGCCTGATGCTCTTCTGTGAACGTCTGTGAACATCCAGCTGCTGAAGGCAGAGGGCTGACTCTGAATGTATTTATTGGTGATACTGTGTTTAGTCTAAAAGAAACAACACAGTACGTGACCTGCAAGCTCATTATCTGGATAATTACTGTATTTTAGAAATAAGAGTAAAATATTCACATAGTTAACATTTTTCACACTGCAGCCATGGGATAAGCTGCTGTTTGCAACACTGGTGTCCCATATTAGAGTGCTGATTTTGAGGCCTGGCCTCTCTGCTTTCCATCCAGCTCCCTGCTAATGCACCTGGGAACGCAGCAGAAGATGGCCCAAGCACTTGGACCCTGCCACCCATATGGGAGACTGGGATGGAGTTCTTGCCTTTGGCTTCAGCCTTGCCCAGCCCTGGCTATTGGAGCCATTTGGGGAGTGAACTAGCAGCAAATGGACGAGCACTCTATTCCCCTTCCTCTCCCCCTTCTCCCTCTCCCCCAACTCTCCCCTCTCCTTCTCCTCCTTTCTTCCTTCTCCCTCTCCTCCCTAGTCTCCCTTTCCCTATTCCTGTCTGTGTCTCCCCTTCTCGTTCTGTTGCTATGCCTTTTGAATAAATAAATAAATCTTGAAAAATACAATTTTGAATGTGCACATGCATATAAATGAAATATGGAAGGTTTTCACAAATTCATGGAAAATTCACATTATAGGAAAACTGTATGTGGATTTCAAGCTATTTTGTACCATAATACTTACCTTTTAATTCCATTTTCTGTGAACTTTTTGAAGTACCCTGTGTAAACACCTTCTCCTGTCCCCTCAATTCAGAATTCGACCCTAATCCTTGGAGGACTCCATTATTACCAGTCTCTTACACATCCTTTAGAACAGTAAATGTAAGCCCTCCCTCCCTCCCTCTTCCTCCCTCCCTCCCTCTTCCTCCCTCCCTCCCTCCCCCCCCTCCCTCCCTCTCTCTCTCTCTCTCTCTCTCTCTCTCTCTCTTTCTTTCTTTCTTTCTTTCTTCTTTCTTTCTTTCTTTCTTTCTTTTCTTTTCTTTCTTTCTTCTTTCTTCATATTTATTTATTTTTTTGAGAGGTAGAGTTACAGAGAGAGAGGTCTTTATCTGCTGCTTCACTCCCCAGATGGCCACAACAGCCAGAACCAAGCCAAGCCAGTCTGAAGCCAGGAGCTTCTTCTGGGTGTCCCATGCAGGTGCAGGGGCCCAAGAACTTGAGCCACCTTCCACTGTTTTCGCAGGCCATAAGCAGAGAGCTGAATCAGAAGAGGAGCAGCCAGGACCCAAATCCGTGCCCAGATGGGATGCTGGCGCCATAGGCAGAGGCTCAGCCTGTGCGCCACAGCGCCAGCCCAGCATACGCTTTCTTAATGTACACAGAAAGGAGCATTTGATGAAGTGTTGAATTCTTTGTTTTCGTCACAAAGCAGAGGCTCCCACCTTCCCCTGTGGGTGTCTGTTAACCTGAAGGCCAGCCCCACTGCTGTGTTTCACCTGATGCCTAGAGTCAGCGACAGGCAGTGAAGCTGGTATAGTCCTGTCACTAGGTGGCTGTGTACCCGAAAGTGGGAGGTACCAGTGCCGCGTCTGTCCAGCCATTCACATCGATCCTAGTGTGCACATACCTTTGTGTATTGAACTAGTCCCTTTTTTATGGGCATACCAGTAGGATGATTTCAAGACGAAGTTTACAAATTAAATGAATGAGTTCTGAAGATAGTAAGTCACAGAAATGAAAAGGGAATTATCTGGTTCATGCTGATAAAAACTGCAGAGTAGAGACTGTGAAGACAGATAGTTCTTACAGCATGGAATATTACTAATTTACCTCTCTCTGGACTAGCGGACTGCCTAAGCCCCCCATACCTGCTCCCTCGTCTTCCTGCTGCTGGACGTTTAGCAGGGGGGCACCCCAGGCAGATTTGATTCCTGTTCTTTACCCCATGCTTTCATGGCCCTTTGTACATCTGTCCATTAATGCAGTCCCCTGTTCTGTTATAGTCGTGCTCTGCCTATGGGGCAGAAGTGCATCCTGTAACCCCTGGACATCCCTTGCACCCGGGTGCTCCACCTGCCATAGCGGGGGCAGGGAAAGTGGCCTCAGCAGGGTATTTACTGAGGATCGGTACACTAATTGAAGCTCCTGGGCTACTTTGAGTCTTCCACTCCACTGTCTTCAGTCGGAAGTGGAGCTACTGTGTGCCTGGGCTAGGCTTTAAACAGCAAAGCTAGCCCTTGATCTCAGAGCTGTTGGGAGGTTGTCTACTCAGTAGGGAGCTCAAGGAGGAAAGGGGAAGCTCCTTGGCTCCCCTGGGAGGGTCTGTCTGACTTGATGGCTGTCTTCCCTCCACCTCCATTGCCACGATTCACCCAGACTCAGCGACAAAGATGGTGCTAAATGTAGCTCTGCCAAGAGGTGGCCATGTATTCAGAAGTGGATGGTGATATCCTTGCAGCTTCTGGTAATAAATCTTTTGCCTTTTTTTTTTTTTTAAACAAAACAGAACACCCTTATTCAACCTGATAATTGAGGTTATTGTCACAAAATAGTCATTATGGAGGCCAGGGAGAAAGAATCAAGGAATTACTTGACAGCTATCTTTTATTTTTTTATTTATTTATTTGACAAGTAGAGTTATAGACAGAGAGAGACGGAGAGAAAGGTCTTCCTTCCATTGGTTCACTCCCCAAATGGCCGCCGCGGCTGGCGCTGCACCCATCCGAAGCCAGGAGCCAGGTGCTTCTTCCTGGTCTCCCATGCGGGTGCAGGGGCCCAAGCACTTGGGCCATCCTCCACTGCCCTCCCGGGCCACAGCAGAGAGCTGGCCTGGAAGAGGAGCAACCAGGACTAGAACCCAGTGCCCATATGGGATGCCGGTGCTGCAGGCGGAGGATTAACCAAGTGAGCCACGGCACATTGCCCCTTGTTAATTTTTCTCATTTGCTGTCAATTTGAGGCTGTCACACCTTGATACAGCCTTTTAGAAAAATGCTAAAGCTATCCTTCAATTATTTGCCCAGCCTTCTATCTCTATTTCTGGATCCTGGCATAGAATATAAACCAGTGGATTTGGCAAGGATTTCCTTAAGTGTTATGTTCAAGCCTATCAAATATTTGGAAGGCTCTCAGATATATTTGCACATAAAAGCACCTTGGGTTTGCATAACTTACATATTTAGACTTAGATTTGAACTAAAAAGTTCCCAGAAATAGTCTTTTAATATTTTTGTCTTTTTTGAATAGTGACATTTACAGTAATCAGATTTCCAGATTTCTTATTAACTGACATTAGCTCCTCTTGAAATTGTTTATAAGGAATATACATAGACTTCAAATACTCTGAGAGTCAAGATAGACTGATACGTGCTTATAACAAACACGACATCTACGTGGCTGAAAAGAACAAGGATTTGTGGGGATTTTGGCCACTCGGTCTCTGCTGCATGTCGTCTTTCCTCGGGCCGCGGCGTCCATCTGTTCTCACAGTGTGTGTCTGTGTCAGACAGAATCGCAGTGATCTTTCAAGCTTCCACCTTAAGTGATGCGCTTAGTTCTGCTCAATTCTCATTAGCCAAGGCAAGTCACATGACCATGCCTGATTCTGAAGAACTGAAGAGGTAAAATTCTACCATGTGCTCAGAGGAGAATGAGGAATAGTTGGTGAGCAGCACACATAGCCACTGTAGCTTCTTGGGTCTTCATGGGTGGGGGAGTTGCCACCTCGCTGGTGCACGTGCGGTGCTGGGTAACATGGGGCCTGAGCACGTGGGTTCTGAGTTGGGGTGCCTGTGCTCCAGTCCTGGCTCCTTCACTAGCTGTCTGATCTTGGGTGAGCAGCCCTTTCCTCCTGCATCTGAATTGTGAAGAGTAAGTGAGGTAGTCGTTATGAAGCCAGTGCCTTTCAGATAGTAAGCACTCAGTAAATCTTAGCTGTCTTCGGGATTGAGTACTTTTTTTTTCTTAAAGATTTATTTGAAAGGCAGAGTTACAGAGAGTCAGAGGCAGAGAGAGAAAGAGATCTTCCATCCGCTGGTTCACTCCCCCAGATGGCTGAAATGGGCAGAGTTGGGCTGATCTGAAGCCAGGAGCCAGGAGCTTTTTCTGGGTCTTCCACACAGGTGCAGGGGCCCAAGGACTTGGGCCATCCTCTGTTGCTTTCCCAGGCCACAGCAGAGAGCTGGATCAGAAGTGGAGCAGCCGGGACTCAAACTGGCGCCCATATGGGATGCTGGCACCCCAGGCAGTGGCTTTACCTGCTACACCACAGTGCCAACCCTGAGTAGTTATTTGTTTTAAAGGACACATGAAAAAAATTACCTTCTTTATTTTTCTTTTTAAACATGTACCATTCAACCAAAGCCAATGAAAGGAAGAAAGGGTTAGAATCAAGAAGCTGTTCTGTGGCCTCAGGACGGGAGGGTTGGGGATACCCCCTGGCTAGGTCAGTTTTACCAGTTCTTGAAGACTCCTGTCCTAGTTTGCTGGAGCAGTGGAACACTATGGGTGTGCTTGTGAGTGTCCTCAGACCCGTCAGCTGACCTGGCCGTGATCTTCTGTGTTTTACTTTAGCTCAGAGTCAAGATCTCCACTGAAGTTGGCATCACAAATGTCGATCTTTCCACGGTGGATAAGGATCAGAGTATTGCACCCAAAACCACCCGGTAGGTGGGATGCCCCGTTGGCCCTGTGGGAGTTGAGACGCCCCACCTAACCTCTTGCCCCTCCCCCGCAATGGCATTTCTGTGCCTGCAGTGCTCCCGCTTATGCCCCGAATTCAAGAGGCCATCCATAGTTCCAGTGGTTCTGCACCAGGAACTCTGGCACCTAAGCATTCGGAGGCCTTCTGTAGCAGTGTGCAGGCTGCCCAGTGAGATGAGGGCAGTCTGACTCCATTGGCTAGGTCCCTAAGCACGTTGTTCAGTTCAGATGACAATTTTATTGTTTAAAATACTTATTTACGTTTCTTTGAAAGACAAGAGATCTGTCTTACGTTCACTGGTTCACTCCCCCAAATGCAACAGCTAGAACTTAATTTGGATCTCTTGCTTGGGTGGCAAGGGCCAAAGTACTGAATCACCTGCTGCCTCCAAGCGTGCACATTTGCAGGAAACTGGAATTGGAAGCAGAGCCAGGACTTGAACCCAGGCATCTTTATATGGGATGCGGTGTCCCAAGCAACATCTTAACCACCTCGCCAAGTGCATACCCCCCAGGTGACAGCTTATTTAATAATAAGACTTTCTCGATGGGGGACACATTAATTTCAGTTCTTATGCCAGCTCCTGAATTTGCTTTTAATGGCTTCATGACAACTCTCTGGCCTGGTGGGTCTGAAATCAATTGGAAGCCTCACAGGTCCTTAGAGCTGAGATGGCAGACAGGTCCCCCACCCCACGTGTGGAAGGCGTTAGCAATGGAACATCTTACTTGTGGAAGGCACTACTCACTAGCCCCCGCATTTGTTCCTGTTGAACTCAGGTGCAGCCTCCACATCTGTCTGTACCACAGCCTCCTAGGTAACCATTAACGACTGGTCAGAGTTGGGCCAGCACTCCGTATGGACCCCGTCCATCAGCCCTTGCCCAGACCCTTGCTTTTTGTGGGGAACCCATTGGGATCTCTGGGGTGATTCAGACTCTGGCTTCGCCATTGAGGTAGCCTTGGAGCCTTGGAGGCCAGAAGGTAGGGGACTCCCCCCGCCCAGGTCTTCCTGAAGATGAGTCTGGGAGCGGACATTCACAGCTCTTTAGTCTTGTGCAGCTGGTGTCTCTGCCCTCAGCCCAGTTATTCCCAGAGTGATACTGGAGATACGAGCAGCACGGAGGATCCACAGTAGTGTCATCTGCGAGAGCACTTTGCAGACTTTAATCCCTGTGTATGTGAAGAGTGGTCTTACCCGTGAGTAAAGATGAGCCGAGTCTGAAAGGAAGCCAGTTGTGAGCTCTGTAACCATTTGGGGTTTTTTTGTTTTTGTTTTTGTTTTTGTTTTTGACAGGCAGAGTGGACAGTGAGAGAGAGACAGAGAGAAAGGTCTTCCTTTTTGCCATTGGTTCACCCCGCAATGGCCGCTGCGGCCAGCGTGCTGCAGCCGGCGCACCGCACCGATCTGAAACCAGGAACCAGGTGCTTCTTCCTGGTCTCCCATGCAGGTGCAGGGCCCAAGGACTTGGGTCATCCTCCACTGCACTCCTGGGCCACAGCAGAGAGCTGGATAGGAAGAGGAGCGACCAGGACTAGAACCCGGTGCCCCGACTGGGACTAGAACCCGGTGTGCCAGAGGCGGAGGATTAGCCTATTGAGCCGTGGCGCCGGCCTACCATTTGGGTTTTTAAACCCTTGGTCACCTCACTGTAAAATCCAGGGGTTGGCTCTGAAAAGAACAGGTTTCCTCAGTAAGTCTGCATTTTGATGATATAAGTTTTTAAGTTTTTTTATTTAGAATTTTTTGTTTATATAAAGTGAACAGATTTCATGTATTTCATATATACAGATTTAGCAGCATAGTGGAACTTCCCACCTTCCCACTCCTTCCTTCCTTATTTTTTCTTTAAATTTTTATAATGACATACTTTCAATTTATTTTATAATCACAAGCCTAACTCTCTACCAAATAAAGAATTCCACAGGTAGTAAGTAGAAAAGCCACGGTTCCTCCAGAATATAGACAAGAGTTGTGGACAGAATCAGATCTCAGGGTCAGTGTTGCTTATTCCATTACATGTTTCTGTGCTCTGAATATTAATTACCACGAATCAGGAAAATGTATGAGAAAATGACTTTTTAAAACTCAATGTCTGGGTAGAAAAGTGAATTGAAATAGTGTCCAACGAAAAATAGAGCTTAAAAAATAAGAAAAGCCCAAATACCCTCCATCTCCTCCTCCCCTATTGTATTGGCGGCCTCACTTCGAGTGCAGCTGGCACTGAGCCTGTGGCTGTCTCTCCCACGTGCCACTGGGTGCCTTTCAGTCCCCCAGGGGACCTGCAGAGCTGCACGAGAGCGCCACCTGTGGCTGTGGTGGAACTGAGGCCTGAGATCCTGAAGAGGAAGCCTGTGGATACAAGTGTCTGCAGGACGCAGCTTTCTCCCAGACCCTGGTGAACGTTTACTCTTGGTCCTGGCTTTGTTGATCCAAAATGTCCTCTGGCCACAGACAGAAGTGTCAGGACCGCCGGGGGCAAGTGCGACAGTGAAGGGGAAGGTGTCTGCTTCACCTGTGCTCCGATTCAGGGCCTCTCTGAAGAGTGTCTGACGTGTCTTTCAGGGTGACCTACCCAGCCAAGGCCAAGGGTACCTTCATCGCGGACAGCCACCAGAACTTCGCCTTGTTCTTCCAGCTGGTGGACGTGAACACTGGCGCCGAGCTCACCCCACACCAGGTCAGGAAGAAACCCAGATACGTGAATGTATAGCAGAGTTAACTCTGGTCCATAACACGGGCAGGAGACCGCTCCCCATTCCTGCTTTCCCTTCTCGGCTCTGAACCCTAACAGTCCATTGTCAGGGTCTCCTGTGTGGTGCTGGACCCGCTGTGAACTGTTGTCTCCCTTCACCCGCACACGCTTCTTTCTAAAAGGTTAACTGGCGTTGAGAAGCCGTGTTCAAAGCAGATTAGCCCTTAATCCTGGCTTCTTTCTGTTTTTAAAAGAGTATATTGACATGGTCTTGAAAGGAAAACGTAGGCAGAGGACCCAGGGCATCGTTCTGTTTGTGGGACCCGGAAGAATGGCCCTGCTTTTCTTTGAAGACATGAGGTGAAGAGGTCGGCTGGGGGCCAGTGGTGCAGGGCACTGAGTTTACATTTTTTTTTTTTTTTAATTTTCATTTATTTATTTGCAGGGCAGAGAGAGAGGGAAGGACTGAGATGGGAAGTTGCCATCTTCTGGTTCGTTCCCCAAACATCTTGCAACGGCTACAACTAGGTGTGGCCATAGCCAGGAACTGGGAGCTCAGGCCATGTCTCCCGCATAGGTGGCAGAAGCCCAGTCCTTTGAGCCATCTCCTGTTGTGTCCCAGAATCTGAATTGGTAGAAAGCCAGAATCAGGAGCCAGAGCACGGAACCCAGGTGCTCCACTGTGGGATGCATCCTTTTTTTTTTTTTTTTTTGACAGGCAGAGTGGACAGTGAGAGAGAGAGACAGAGAAAAAGGTCTTCCTTTTGCCGTTGGTTCACCCCACAATGGCCGCTGCGACCAGCGCACCGTGCTGATCTGAAGCCAGGAGCCAGGTGCTTCTCCTGGTCTCCCATGCTGGTGCAGGGCCCCAAGGACTTGGGCCATCCTCCACTGCACTCCCAGGCCACAGCAGAGAGCTGGCCTGGAAGAGGGGCAACCGGGACAGAATCCGGCACCCCGACCGGGACTAGAACCTGGGGTGCCGGCACTGCAGGTGGAGGATTAGCCTAGTGAGCTCATCACCAGCCTGAGATGCATCCTAATAGGCACCTTAACCACAAGGCTAAATGGTCACCTCTGAATGGCCTCCCCCCACACTTTTTTTTTTTTTGTAAGATTAATTTTCAAGGCAGAGCTACAGAGAGAGAGAATCTTCCATCCACTGGTTAATTCCCACAGTGGCTGCAATGGCCAAGGCTGGGCCAGGCCAAAGCCAGGAGCTTCTTCTGGGTCTCCCACGTAGGTGGCAGAGGCCCAAGCACGTGGACCATCTTTGGCTGCTTTTCCCAGGCACATTAGCAAAGAGCTGGATCATAAGTGGAGCAGCTGGGACTTGAACCAGTGCCCACATGGGATGTCGGCATTGCAGACAGAGGCTTTACCCACTGTGCCACAATGCCATTCCTCAGAATGGCCCTTTTTAACTTGGCCTACTTTGATTTTGAAAGAACTAGGCTTGTTTTTCTTTTCTATATAAAAAAAGTGAAAATTATACTTTCGAAGTATTGTCAAACCCTTCCTTTCAGGCAGCCACCCCCTCCCCCACTGCCTGCCCACTTAATTCTGTCAGCATCCCCCTTGGTGAGAAGAACTCGTGCCACAGTGCCACGTGTGTGGTTAAGTGTTCTGTAAAGGAAAAGCCAGATAAATACTTTGAATACTGAAAAACAAGAAGGAATGTGGAGCCTCGTGGGCTTGGCAAGAACCAACAGGCTTGTGCCTGTGCCAGGAGGCAGCCTCAGAACAGAGCCTGAGGTGACTAGGGTTGGCGGGAGGCTGCGTGCTGTGTGCCCAGAACACCTGCCTGCGGGGCCGCAGTCTCAGCAGCTCTCTGCACGTCTCTCCTCTCCCCACCCAGAGCTGACTGTGAGCACTCCTTCTCCTCCCCCGATGATGTCTGCTGGCCGACACAGAAAAACTGTGAGCCCAGATGGGTAGGATTAGGGCTAGGGCAGGGAGTGTTGGTGAGGAAATGTTGTTTGAACTCATTACTTGTCTCTTCCAAGGTTCTGTTTTGGAAGCCATGGCTTAAAAGACCTCCTAGGTAGAGCAGGCCTTTTACAAATGAGCTTGGCAGTGGCCTGTACTTGACTGTGATAGGAAGGAGTTGAGGCATCCAGGCTCGTAATTCCCCTTCCTGGCCAAGACTGACTACTGTAGCTGGATGCCTTGCATCTCTAGCCCCTTTCCCTAAATATGTGGATGATTCCTCTTTGTTGTCCAAAGGTGGGGTAACCAACAAGATTTATGTGTGTTCTGTAGATCCAGGGCTAGCTGTGTGACCATGGCAACTCAGTTAATGTTCATGCCTTCTGCTCTGTAAATTTGAACCAAATTATTTGAATTTTTTATTTGGAAAACAAACTTGAAGGGAAAGCTTTGCATGATAAGACCAGTGTCATCATATCAACAATATTAGCTACCAATGTTTGACAAGGCAGTATGAAGTTATTTCAAGAAGTTCATGGAAATACATCTTTTTTTTTTTTTTTTTTTTTCCTGACAGGCAGAGTTAGACAATGAGAGAGAGAGAGACAGAGAGAAAGGTCTTTTCGTTGGTTCACCCCACAATGGCCGCTACGGCTGGCGCTGTGCCGATCTGAAGCCAGGAGCCAGGTTCTTCGTCCTGGTCTCCCATGCGGGTGCAGGGCCCAAGGACTTGGGCCATCCTCCGCTGCACTCCTGGGCCACAGCAGAGAGCTGGACTGGAAGAGGAGCAACCGGGACAGAATCTGGCACCCCAACTGGGACTAGAACCCAGGATGCCAGTGCTGCAGGCAGAGGATTAGCCTATTGAGCCGCAGTGCCGGCCCTGGAAATACATCTTATAAAAAAACTAAGCGTGGACTTCAAAAAAGTTTTTACACAAAAATAAACTTTATCTTCTAATTCCTTTTCTTCTACAAACTTTTTTTAAAATTAAATTTAAAAATCTAATTTAATTTTGACAGGCAGAGTTAGACAGTGAGAGAGAGAGAGAGACAGAAAGGTCTTCCTTCCCTTGGTTCACCCCCTAAATGGCTGCTATGGCTGCACGCTTTGCCGATCCGAAGCCAGGAGCCAGGTGCTTCCTCCTGGTCTCCCATGCGGGTGCAGGGCCCAAGCACATGGGCCATCCTTCACTGCACTCCTGGGCCACAGCAGAGAGCTGGACTGGAAGAGGAGCAACCGGAACAGAATCTGCCCCAACTGGGATTAGAACCCGGTGTGCCGGTGCCACAGGCGGAGGATTAGCTTAGTGAGCCATGGTGCTGGCCAAAAATCTAATTTATTTGAAAGGCAGAGAGTCAGACTGAGATCTCCCCCTTGCCGGTTTACTCCCCAAATGCCTACAACAGCTGGGGCTGGGCCATTCCAAAGCTGGGTACCTGGAACTCAGTTTGGGTCTCCTACATGCGTGACAGGGGCAAGAGTACTTGAGCCTTCTGGTGTGTGCATTAGCAGAAAGCTGGAATTGGCAGGGAACTGGGACTTAAACCCAGGTACTCCAATAAGGGTTCAGTAAGGAATATGGTTGTTCAAGTGACATCGTAACCACTGCACTAAATGCGTGCTACCCACTTTGAAAAATTTTTATGTATTTGTTCAGAAAGAGATAGAAAGCCACCATCTGTTGGTTCACTCCCCAGATGTCTGCAGTAGGCAGAGCTTGCCAGGCTAAGGCTGGGAGACAGGAACTTAATCCAGGTCTCCCACATGGGTGGCAAAAACCCAATTACTTGAGCCATCACCGCTGCCCCTGAGGTGAGGGTTCCCGTTAGCAGAAGTTGGCATCAGAAGCTGGAGCGAGGGGGTTGAACCCTGGCGTCTGATGTGGGACATGGGCGTCCTAACTTCTAATCCAGATGCCTGCTGCTTTCTGTGAACCTCCTGAGGCACCCTCCAATGTAGCAGCCCCGCACTGACGGCTTCCTTCACTACAAACTTCACAGAGGCACCACACGTCTAAGTTTATCTTTCTGCCTTAAAGGTGGCAGGAAGCAAGGTGCAAGGAGTTTAAGTAACCTGCTCTGCTGATAAGCAGTGGCCTGGGTCTTTCTGTGTTCAGAGCCCACGCTCGCTGCATTCCACTGGGCCACTCTGCTCAATGACAGTCCTGCCTTGCCATCAATACCCAGGCCTCTGCTACGGAATCTTTAGCTGGAGGCACTTGGAAATTGAAAATGGGCCTCTTACAGCTCCGCCTCATTTCCCTCCCTCTCCCCCTCTGGGGAAGAAGTTAATTGGGCAGCAACGTGGCTAAAAGGCAGCAGGAAGAAGAAATTGCAGCAATAGCAAAGGCTTAAATCACCCACAAACTGGGTGCACAGCCGCCAGCAGCTGTGCATGGCCAGACCTCTCGGTCACACTTCTTGCCTCATTCCAGCAGAGTTCTCTCCTAGCTAGAAGCCAGAGTGGGCTGCCCACGCCGTGCACTCTGGCCAGGCCTCGCCCGTCCCAGGGCTCTGTGGGTGACCAAGGAGCTCACGGTGTGCTGTCTTGTGGATCCCATGTAGGGCCCACTGGGCATTTGAAATGATCAAATGCAAGGTTGTATTGTTCCCTCTAGACTTTCGTCCGACTCCATAACCAGAAGACGGGCCAAGAAGTGGTGTTTGTGGCTGAGCCAGACAGCAAGAACGTGTACAGATTTGAACTGGACACCTCTGAAAGAAAGATTGAATTTGACTCTGCCTCTGGCACCTACACTCTCTACTTGATCATCGGAGATGCCACTCTGAAGAACCCGATCCTCTGGAATGTGGTATGTGCCTCAGTGCCCTGCCCTGGCCAGAGCAGCTGTGCGCACACGGCGGCTCCTCCCCCAGGGGCAGAGCCTCTTCACCTTGGCCGGTCAGTGAGCCCTCCAGGTGAGGCGCTGTCTCCAGAAATACTCCCAGGGTCATGCACTTGACGTGGCATGTGGTAGGTGCTTAATAAATATCGACTGAGTGAATGAGTGAATGAGACAGATTTGCCCTTGTGTGAATTTCTGCAGGTTTTATCCTGGAATGAGCTGCTTCTGCTATAGCAGGCGCTGTGGGTTCCATCAACATACAAGATCAGGTTCTGGCCTTGCAGATACGGGCTAGCTTAATGGGGGCAATAGGGTTTGAATTCTGATAACAGTTCAGGGTGATATCAGGTAGTGAATTACAGAATACAAGTAACATGGTACCCAGTATGGGCAGCATGTCAGGGTTTGTTTGCATCCTGCTCTTTGCTTCCTGATGTACTTCTGATTGGTGTGACGAGAGGAAATGTACTGAAAACCACAGCCTTTGAGCAAGGGGTGGGCAGGTGGCAAGGACTCTGAGCTCAGCGTCTGAGGGCTTGGAGTGATGGTGGGGAGATGGCCCTAGAGAAGCTCACTGCTCTCAGGGAGACAGGTGAGTGGTGCTCCTTAGCAGAGCCCCTGAACCCGTCAGAGCAGATGATGAGCTTGGTAAGCCAGGTTGCAGGTTTCGTGTGGCCGTTGGCTCCTGTGCAAAACAAAGGGGCAGCCAACCACCTTCTCTTGCTGTGTTCAAGGCTCATTTTCTTATCCTGGACTTAGGGCTACTTTTATGTACAAGAGTGCACTTTCATCTTGCTTTTTCTTGTCTTTTTTCATGATGTGACTAAATCGCACTTCCTGGGGACACGCGGCAGTGTCTGATTGCCGCTGTAACAGCCCATGCACCAGCTGGGGCCTTTGTATTAAGCAGCTCTATGGGGCTTTCTTTGCCATACCGGTTAGCAAATTTGAGCTCTGGCTCTAAAAAGCCTTCTCAACAAGTATACGTGGTTGTCTTGAAGTTTTTACTGCCTCAATTTATCTGCTAATGGATCAAAAGTGATTGGACTGCTTGGTGGTTTTTCAGTTATGGTTCTGGGTGTGAGGCTGTCACCCTGCTGAGCACTCTGCACCCATTGCGTGCCTGTGCCTTAAAGACTGCCCTTCTGTTTTTTAGGCTGATGTGGTCATCAAGTTCCCTGAGGAGGAAGCTCCATGGACTGTTCTGTCCCACAACCTTTTCACCCCAAAACAGGAAATCCAGGTACATCCCAAAGTGCTTAGCAAATGGGTACAGCGAGAGAGGACAGCACACACTGGCCTGCAGCTCTGGTCCTGTAGCCTGCTCAGCTTGACCTCACACTGGGAACATGAGGGCGGGAACAGTCCCATCCAGTAGCTGAAGAGAGGTTCAGAGGGCCCAGCTCCCAGAAAGCAGCGGTGGAGGTGAACTCAGAGCCCACAGATGCTCTGCCTGCCAGGCGTGACAGCTGCGTGCACGGGGCGCTTAGCCTTCAGCCCCACTGCTCCTCCCTGGATTCGGGCTGATGGGCCAGCAGGTGGGAAGACTCAACTCGGAGAACAAAGTGAGTCCTTCATCTTTCTGGGGTTCGCCTTCCCTGAACACAAAAGCCAGGCCTGCCCACCCCAGCCCACAGGACCTTGTGAAGGTATACGTCAATACCAAAAGGCAAGACAGGCTTTGGAGCGTCTCCAAAACCTTTTGTAAAATAAACAACCTCATTGTTCAACAGCGTGGGTACTGGCTAAGGAAAGATGGTCCACTCGCTCAGCAGTGTCTTGCGGTCATGAGAAATGGCCCATTTCTGTGGGTACATGGAAACGCACGTGTGGGTCAATGTCAAAGTGCTACAGCGGACCACTTCCGCTTATTCAGTAGGGAAAGAACAAAGGCCCAGAGCGGAGAGTAGTGGGATTCTTCTGGAAATTCCTCCTCTGTGGATGTAGCATTGCTTAAGGGTATCAGATGCAGTTAAGGAGCCGGGCACATGACTGTGACTGTGCAGGGTGCTGACTGCTGTGTGAGAAGACGAGGTGGCAGCAGCTGCTCCCGTCACTGTCAGAAATCCCTGACGGGCAGCCGGGAGTCGTGGTAGGCGCTGAGGAAGAGGAAGCCTTAGTGGGGCCGCCTGATGGTGGAGCTGGGTTGCTGGGCATGGGCAGGTAGAAAGTCAGCCTCAAGCTTACCACAGAAGAAATGTTTTGAAAATTTGTGCAAGTGTGTTCCAGCTTACAGAGCATCGTCAGATGCCCTCTGCATTCGGTCCTTAAGGCAGCATCTTTACAGCCTAGGAGGTGCTCCTAGCCCTCCACACCCCTAGTCTCCCAGCTGGAAACTAAAGTCAAGAGGGTTCGAGTGACTTGCCCCTGGCCCCACAGCTTGGCCCAAACAGAAGCCTCTGTGGAGGGGAGCTTCCTGATGAGAATTCACTCGGGAGATAAAAAAGAAATGAATGTCGGAGCAGTCTTCTCCCGGATTTCTGGTTTAATTCTAGAACCTGGGCAGAGCAGACAGGTGAAAGTTCATCTGGAGCTTCCTAGAGTTGGGGGGAAGGGAGAAGTGAGTTATGGTTGGAACCACGTTGGGCGAGGCTCTGTTGGGTTTTAGAATGGGATGCAGTCATCACTGGTAACTCACTGGAGTGGGTCAGATGGGGGACACTCCCACCCTAGGAGCCCGGAAGCTTTGTGAAACCCAGGGTCCTGCTGTGTGTGTGTTGTCACCCGGGCCATCCACAGAGCCTGGCACCCTCGCTGACTCTAGCCCTGTGCCACTCCAGGGGATGCCTTCTCCAGCCTTGGAGTAGCAGTGAATCTTCGAGGAGAAAAATGGGTTTGCCAGGTGGGAGGGTTTGTCCTTTGGAGGGAGGCCTCTGGGAGCAGCAGCCACCTCGGCAAGAGGCCGAGTGACCACCCCTGTAAGGAGCTTTCAGCCTTCGGGAGGTGTGTCCTCCTCATGACCGTCCCTGAGGTTTGGGTCCCTGGCACGCCCTGCGGCACCTGCTGGGGAGGGCGCGTTCTCGAGTCTCAGCATCGTCCTCTCTTGGCAGCACCTGTTCCGTGAGCCGGAGAAGAGGCCGCCCACCGTGGTGTCCAACACGTTCACAGCCCTGATCCTCTCGCCCTTGCTGCTGCTCTTTGCCCTGGTGAGTCGCAGTGATTAGCATGGGCGGAGTGTGCCTGGCGCCAGACTCGGCAGATGCAGGCCTTCCATTGGAGGCTTTGTACTCTGCCCTCAGCACACCCAGAGGGCCCCAGCAGCTGTGACCTAAAATAACCAAATTCCCCACTCTGAGGCAGCTCCATTAGCAAAAAGGGCATGAGAAAGGGCACGGGTGTATGGCCTGCGGTGCCCTGAGGCGTGTTCAGATGAGGTCAAGTGTGAACCCAGCAGCCTCGTGCTGGCAGCCGTGCAGAGTGTGGCACAGAGGCTGTGCGTGCCTGTGCTGGTGGGAGCATGCACACGGAGGCAGCCTCGCGTCCTCCTGGAAGCAAGTGTCGACTGCATCGCAGTGCAGCCACGCGGTGGAATACCATGCCGCTTGTTAGAAGGGGGCTGACGTTTGGTCTAGAGGCGGACTCCTCTACGTCATCCATGCCAGAGCCTGTGCGCTTGAGTCCCGACTACTCCTAATCCCAGCTTCCTGCTGGTGCACACCTTGCAGGGCGGCAGAGATACCTCAAGGGTTTGAGTCTCTGCCCGTCCCAGTCCAGGCTTTGGCCTGGCCCAGCCCCGGACTGTTGAGGGGCACTTGGTGTGAACCAGGGGGTAAGAAATTCTCTCTCTCTCTCTCTCTCTCTCTCTCTCTCTCTCTCTCTTTCTCAAATAAATAAATAAGTCAGTACTTTTATGGATATTTGTATGCTCTCACGACAAGATTGCCAAGGTATATTACTGCATGAAGAAGGCAAGGGTAGCACTTTGTTTAGTGTGATCCACTCTGCATAAAAAATTTGAAAATACATATTAGTGTTGATCACCACCAAGGAGACTATAGAAGGAGATTTTTACCTTTTATACTTTACTGTTTAAAAATTGTTTAACCAATTGTTTCTCTATTTTAATATTTATTAATTTGAAAGCCATTGTTAGAGAGCGAGGGAGAGATAGACAAAGAGATCTTCAATCTGCTGGTTCACTCCCCAGATGGTCTCAAAAGCCAGGAGCTTCATCCGGGTCTCCCACATAGGTGCAAGTGCCCAAAGACTTGGGCCATCTTCTCCTGCTTTCCTGGGCGCATTAGCAGAGAGCTGGATCGGACTCAAAGTAGAGCAGTCGGGACTCAAATCGGTGCCCATATGGGATGTTGGCACTGCAGCACTGGGCCTCCTCTTTTACAGTTATAAACATAGATGTGTATCCTCAAAGTTTGGATAATTTTTTAAGTTTTTATTTATTTATCTTCATTTTATTTGAAAGGCAAGTAGACGAAGAGAGATTTTCCATCTGCTGTTTCACTCGCCTGTGCCCTCAACAGCAGGGACCCAGAACTCAATCCAGATCTCCCAGTGGGTGTAAGAGACCTAAGAATCTGAGCCATTGTCTCATTAGCAGGAAGCAGGGTCAGAAACAGTAACCGAGACTCAAACCAAGCACTTGGATCTGGGATGCAGGGGTCCCACACGATGACTTAACCCCTGTGCCCAGAGTTCAGAGAATTTTGGGGAACCACTCCTTAGCTTTTGCTTTCAGGTCATTGCCATTTTTCTGAATTAATCACTTGTTAGAATCCCTGGTTACTCCAAATCTAGAAGGCATGTCAGAAGCTTTCAGAATCAGACCTAGGTTACAGGTACCTGTTCTCATACCAGAGTGATCAGAATTTCACAAGGGAAGGCACGCATCCCAGCAGCTGCCGGCGGGTTTCCCTCCCAATTCCTCGAGACTCAGTGGCATTGTCAGTTACTTTGGCAACAACGCAGTTTCTGCCCTGGGGGCTTCCTGGTTCCACATGTAGTAAAAAAACGTGGTTTGCCATATTAAAAATGACGTTCCTGTCTGGGTCAGCCGGCAGGCACATTTGAGAGCAGGTGCTGAGAAGTGCCTTTTTATAGCAGAGGGGAGCAGTTTTTCTGAGGGCTTATAGTAGGGTGGCTATGGCTAGAAGTCCCAGCCCTCCAGTGGGCATACCCGTTTGAGCCTGGGCCGTTCATTGGATTAGCATTGGCATGGCGCATGTTGCCTCCATTTCAAGTTCTGATGTCTTTTTAATTCATTTCTTCCCATCGTTCAGTGGATTCGGATTGGTGCCAACATCTCCAACTTCACCTTTGCTCCTAGCACGATTATCTTTCACCTGGGACATGCTGGTAAGTGCCCCTGGCTGCTGACGCCATCCAGCCTCCTCTGACACTTAGCCTGCCCACGCGGAACCACAGCCTATTAACTATAATGACTTAATAGCATAACATTTTCCTCTTCCTGCTGGCCTCTTCAGCCAGTTAATAGGATGATAAGCCTGTAGGGCCCATCAACTTAGAACAGCCGTCATTATCCTGGGGGCGGCGTCCTAGGCTGCTGTGTATAGCCTCGCTCATTTCCAGAGATCACGCATATAGCACACTTGTACACTGGGCCATCTTCCCGGGCAAGGCACCTTAGTGCCGTTTCCAGAGGTTGTCCCCCACACTGCGTCGGTGTTCATAGGAGCCGGCCGTTGGCTCTTTCTGCCCGGCAAGAGAGGACAGTCCCTTCCACTGTCAGTAAGCAACCTGAACCTGGTGAGACAGAAAGTCCTCAAGCCAGCGTCCCCAAGACCCTGACAGTCGGATCGGAGCACTTCACCAACTACCCTGTGTTGTGGCGGCTTGGCCTCCTTCGGGAGTTGCCCTCCGTGTGTCAGAGTAGACGGAGTCAGAGCAGTCCAGGCCCGGGAGCCCCTGAGGTTCTTGGCGAATGTGTGTGTGTATGTGTTTCTGGGGATAGTCTGTAGCTTGGGTCAGATGATCACAGTGGTCCCTGATCTCGAAACTGGCCCCGAGCCCCCACTGCAGTTCATCTGTCATCCCTGGGCAGGATTGGCAGGCTGACCTTGCTCTGCAGTGCAGTTGCTGGATTTGAATGGTAGCCCTTCTGGGTCAGAGCAGGAACAGAGCCTGAATATAAATTTGTGTCGTGTGGGCTTGACTCTGTCACAGCCCTGGTCGGGTAACTGAAGCAGGAATTGTGTTCCTGTTTGACAGCTGAGAGAATTTGGACTCAGAAATTAAGCAGCCAGAAAGGGCAGAAGCTGAACCAGAACTCGAGACTCTGGGTGCCTAGCTCTGAGCCCTTTTCTTTTCTTTTTCCTTTTTTTTTTTTTTTTTTTTTGATAGGCAGAGTGGACAGAGAGAGAAAGGTCTTCCTTTTCCGTTGGTTCACCCAACAATGGCCGCTGTGGCTGGCGCGCTGCGCTGATCCAAAGCCAGGAGCCAGGTGCTTCCTCCTGGTCTCCCATGTGGGTGCAGGGCCCAAGCACTTGGGCCATCCTCCACTGCTTTCCCAGGCCACAGCAGAGAGCTGGGCTGGAAGAGGAGCAACCGGGGCAGAATCTGGCGCCCCAACCAGGACTAGAACCCGGTGTGCTGGTGCCGCAGGTGGAGGATTAGCCTAGTGAGCCACGGCGCCGGCCTCTGAGCCCTTTTCACTTCCTCCCAGTTCTTGCCCCTTCCTAGTGGCAATTTATCCTTAACGCGTTTTTAATGAAAAGGCACCTCTGATGTGTAGTAGCCCGCATGCTTTCATGAAGGACGGTTGAGGCAGAGAAGGCAGCTGAACACAGCTTAACACTAGGATGTCAGATTTGAGTCTCAAAAGTCGAATGCATCCCAAATATAACACTAAGCTCTAAACAAAGGAAAAACAAACTCTGCAGTCAAGAAGCAGAGACCTCCTAGCTGTGAGTGGGAACATGGAATGAGATCAAGTAGCTGCAGTCTGACTCTCGCCTCTGGGTTTCTCTGTCGCAGAAGCCGAGAAGCAAGTATGTTGGGTTATTTGCTTTGAGGCATCAGATTAAAGGAATACGAGGGGCCGGCGCTGGTCTAGAAATAAAGGCTTTCGCGTTTCCAGCAGTTGCTGCTTGTCAGTCTCCGCCGCCCCAGGGCTCGTCCCCGTTTCCTCTAACTGGATACCACGATACCTCTTCTTGTAGCTATGCTGGGACTCATGTATGTCTACTGGACTCAGCTCAACATGTTTCAGACCCTGAAATACCTGGCCATCTTGGGCAGCGTGACGTTCCTGGCTGGCAATCGGATGCTGGCCCAGCAGGCAGTCAAGAGGTAAGGCTGGGGCTGGGCTGGGGCCCCAGACTGGGATTTGGAATAACTGTGTCCACACTGCCCAGCTCTTTAAACAAGGGTGTGTGACAAAATGATTTGTGTGCTTAAGGGCATCCTGACACAGAGACCACAAGACAGAGTCGGGAATGGGCCTTAATGATAAAACTGTAGTGATACTGTGTGTCCCTACACCTTGGAATGAAAGGAAAGTCGTGGCTCAATGCAGATTGAAATGGCCTAGAATAAGTGGTGCAAGTGGTTCATTTGCTGGCCCTGTGAAAGTTCTCGCTGTCAGGAGAACCCTGCTCCCTCCTGTGCAGGCCCCCCCCCCCGCACCGAGCTCTTCTTCCTAGGCCAGGCGCGCAGCTGTCTTGCAGAGGCTCCGGCTCAGAGCACCCTGCCCCAGGCCAGCAACCTGAGAGGCCTTCAGATGGCCAGGCCTGCAGGGGTGGCAGCTCGCTGGCAGCTTGCCTTTGGAAACAACATTGAAGGCAGATGTAAATGTCACATAGGTGCTTCTCATTGATTTGACTTTATTAGAACTGGGGTGATGTCAGCCACGCAAAGGCCAAGAAGAAAAGGTCAGAGTTGCTTTCACCTTTGAAGGGCTCGTTTTCAGACAGGCCGTGCTTCCTCCATGCCGGGAGGTGTAGCTGAGTGGCAGGCTCTTGGCCGCTCACAGCAGGAGGTGGCTTTGTCAGGGAGCCCAGGACTGGGCGGGCGAAGCTCGCAGCTCCCCTCCAGCTGAGTCCATGGTGAGCCTTCTGAGGGCCTCGCCCTGGAGGGCTGGCCCCAGTGTGCTCCTGGGCTTCCTGTGTCATACAGGCCCCACCGGAGCCTCCCTTGGCACCGGCACCGGCAGTGGCAGTTGGTTCCGGTTCCTGCCCCTCGCAGCCCTTCCTTGGCGGCTGTGCATTGCCTCTGGGAACTCGGCTGCTTTTGCAGAGCAGAGCCTTGTTCCCTTGCAGCAAGCAATGCTGTGTTCTTCTAGATCCTCTTTTCTGCAAGTTGCTCACCTAAGATGAAGACAGTCAAGGACAGAGTGGAGGAGAAGCCGTCTGATTTAGCTCCTGCCTAGCAGGGCCTCCTAAGCTAGAATGGTCAAGCTGGGTGCGCTTTCTGGGAAGACAGAAAGGGTCTGTGCCTGCCTACATATGGCTGTCCTGGAACCAGCTGTGCCTTGCGGGCCCCGTGCCCCCACAGAAGCCCTGTCCTTTCTCAGCTTACTCCCCCTCACTGTCCTTTCTTGATTCTCAACCCGTCTTTCCTTTGGCAGGATCGCTGCAGAGCAGAGCAGTAGATTGGCAAAATATAGGACACTACGGTAAAGATGAAGGGCGAATGCGTCCCAGCACAGGGCCCCATCCCATCCTGTCCGCCTCATGCATGTCTGTTGCTCTCTGTGTTCAGTCCACTTCCTCCCCAGCCCTCCCTGAGCCACATCTGAACTCTGAGGCTGTTTTCCAGCTTGCCGGCTGAGGCTGTGACTGGAGCAGGACGGAAGCTTCCTGCATGAGCCCAGCCCATGGGGCAACTGTGCCTGGGGAGCCACGTGTGCTGGGCTTTGACCGTGTAAGACTCCATCCTCCCAGCGTCCCGTGGGGCACACACAGCCAGAGGCCTCTCTCCTCTGTGTATGGGAGAGTGGAGTTGAGGGTGGTAAGACAAGTCCAACTGGGACTTCTTCAAAGGGGACCCCATTCAGACCATTTCAGCCCATTCAGTGATGGGCCCACGGCAAATCCTGGCACACCTGTCACTGTCTCCAGGCCTTTCTGTAACAGGGACCGCGGTTGGGCCCAACAGTGAAGGTTGGTGAGGCTCTGAGTGACGAAGAACTGATTGCCGCCCATCAAAGGCCGTCTCAGAATCCACTTCCTCGCCTCGGGTGCGGCCCGGGCTGCTCCCGCTGTGGGCGAGCTCTCGCTCACTCTCGCCAGGTGTTCATCCCAGGGTGGAGGTGAAAGAGGAAGTGGGGAGCGGGTCTGGCTCACAGCCCGTCTGCTCCTCTGGCCTAGGGGTCAGCACGAGCTTCCGGGAAGGATGCAGAGAGTTTGTTGGCCCTGCAGGCGGGGTGGCCTCTGCCACAGGTCCTCCACTCGACCACTGTCCTGCAAAGGCAGAGGAGACCAGGTCCAAACGTGCATGTGCCTGTGTGCCAGGGACGCTCTTTACCAAAAGCAGTGCAAGGCTGAGGCTGGGCTGCAGGGCCCAGTTTGCTGGCCCTGCCCTAAGCTTGAATTTCCGAGGCGTGCTCTCCTGTATCCCTTTGCCTTGCAAGTGGCTTTCCCTGCCAGAGCAGCGGATTCTTCAGATTTGTCATCCTCTGGAAACGGGAGAGCAGCCGAAGCGAGGATTTGCAGCCTTTTCGCTGCAGTGTGAGTGGAAGCTGGGTCGTCTGTCCTCAGCGTTGGCTTTGGTTTGGTTTTCTCGGGTTTGACTGAGGCGTAGTTTCTGGGCAGTAAAACACCCTTCTCGGCATGTCATTCTGTGAACCTTGGAAAGCTGCGGTCGCCGTGTGGCCTGCAGGGTGCCGACGCTCCCCCTTTGCAACTGGTCCTCTCTGCCCAGCCCATACCCATTCACTTTCGTCCTAAATTATGGCTGCTCTGTCTGAGATTTGCTTTCGGAACTAGCCCTCTCTGCTAAATGTTTGAAACAGCCAAGGACTGATTGTTTTTTCCCGGATGTTTAGGGAGTACAGCCTATACCACCAAACCCTAGTGAGAGGCAGTCCCTCGACCTCTGAGACATTTGGGACTTTCTGAGGCTCTTGAGGGATGAGGGTTAGCCCCAGGAGCTGAGAGCTGGCGGTCTGAAGACACTGATTGGCGCAGGCCCAGCGTGGGGCCTGACTGCTTAGCACGGAGGCCCGCGGGCCGCTCCCGCTCTGCTGTTCTCAGTTCATGCTCGTGCTGTCTCTTCTGCAGGGCAGTTCTGGTACACACATCGGAGTGTACTTAGGGACCACTGCACGTCGGCCAGGAATTAGGGGCACATGCTCCAGCTCTCAGGGGTAGTTCCATGTGAGACCATGCACCTGGGGGCAGGTTTGTTTATTGGTTTGGAGCCTGCCATGGGCACTCTGTCGTCAGCATCCAAGCCCTCGGCATGGGGTCTGTTTGCTGCTGAAGGGTGTGAGTGTGTTGGCCTCCAGCCTCTGCACAGCCTGCCTGGCTCAGTCGCCTGCTGATGTTCCTGCCCAGCCTGGGGCCCAGTGTGGGGCCCAGCGTCTGTCTATGTGATCATTTTCGTTTCTGCGTTTCCCCATCACTGCCTAGGGATGGGCAGATGGGGGGAGAGGAAATAGAGAGGTTATTCTCTGCTCTGGAAATTTCTCTGTGGGCCAAGTCCTGTTTTCAAGAATGACCCATTTCCGGGGTGGGAATGCGGTGCAGGCTGCCGTGCCGCGTGCTGGGATGTCAGCCTCCAGGCCACGTTGGTGGCCAGATGCGAGTTGGCAGATCTGCCGTCCGGGGGACGGAAGATGAACTTTGTCTAAACTTCCTCTGTTGGTCAAGCTGCGAGAGCCTGTCCGAGGCCTTGCACTGTGAAAGGTGTGCCTGGACTTACCCGTGCTCGCATGTTCACACGCTGCTTCCGGTCCTCATCCAGTGTACCTATGGTGTAAGTCGTGACCTGGCTGTGTCCCGTCCTTCTGTGAAATGAGAGGGTGCTGAGTCTCCCCTTCGAGCGGGAGCTCACAGTGGGACAGTGCCTCGATCTCTGTGTCGCTCCCAGTGGGGTTTGAAACCTTTAATAATTTTGTGTTTGTCTGCGTTTTCTTTCAGAACAGCGCATTAGTTCCAGAAAAAGGATGGAAATTACAAAAACTGAAGTGAATGTTGAGAAACGGAGTCGAGAGCAATTCACAGTGTGTAAAGAGGAATGCAAACCCTTTATTTAAAGAGAGACACGTGGAGACTGTGGTTATACTTGTGCTTGTTGTTTTTCAGTTTTCCCCAGCACAGAGCAGATACCTGTGAGCCCAGATAGTCGGTTTCTTTGGCATGACGCCCTAGCAGGATGCTGTGAATATTCCTCACTTCCCAGATGTTGCATTTGAAAGCCGAAATGTGTCATTAACTGTTTTGGAATAAAGAGAAAGATAATGGGAGCAGAGGCCTGCTTGCGAGCTTTTCCCTGGATGTGCGGGGCAGCGGGATCCTTGGGAGTCGAGCGTGAGGCCCTGGCTGGGACCTGGGTGTTGACACAGTGACCGGGATGTTTCTCCAGTGCTGTGTACTGTGGTCACGCTCGTCCCCTCCTGGCAGCACTGAGGTTGCCTGGAAAAGCCAGCTTCCTTTCTCTCCCTTTCTTGTCCGGCACCGGGCGCCAGCTGCCTGCATAGGAGCTCTGTTGGTGTCTGCTCCTAGTGTCCCTGCTCAGTGTGCCCGATCCCAGCAGCTCATTGGGAAGGAAGGGGCAGAGCTGGGGAGCTCATTTCCCTGGAGCCTCCGTTGCCTGTGCCCGCCCCTGCACGGGCCTGGAAACCAGCCTGGCTGAGGCCTGATGGACAGTGTGCAGTGTGCAGGAGGCATAGTGGAGCTTGAGAACGGAGGTGCAGAGGGTCCTGGCTCCTCATCACTGGCGATCAAGGGCAGCCTGCCAGGACAAGGCACTGGCAAAGCTCAAGGGTACGGAGGCCGGGTCAGGACTGGCCTGCAGACCCCGAGCACAGCAAGCATGTGCCCTGTGCCAGCCTCCCTGTTGTGTCCGGAGCTACGGCAGGGAGCAGGACAGGTGCAGGCCCAGCCCTTCATCCACTCAGAGTCTGGAAGGAAGCACAAGGCAGGAAGGGGGCGGGGACTGCAGATGTTCACAGAGGAAGCAGCTTCAACCTGAAGGGCTTGGGGAAGCTAAGCTGAGACCCAAAGACAAAAAGTGCTTAGGCAGAGCATCAGCGTGTGCAAAGGGCCTGAGGTAAGCATACCAAGGAGAGTGGCCTTGGGTGAGGTAGGAGAAGCCCCGATGAATTCAGCTCCCGTAGGCTGTGGCAGAGGGGCTAGCACTTCTTTGGGGACCAATGGCCAATTGTAAGCCACTTGGGGTTTGTGTTGGGACATAGCGGAGACTGATGCTGTGTGCCAGCCCTGCCCACTGGGTGAAGCCTCCGAGGGACTCGGCTCTGCGGCAAACTGCAGGGGAAGGATGTGGTTGCCATAGCATCTGGGAGCTGGGGGGGGGGCTGACTGCACCCCCTCTTCTACCACTTGCTGCCCACTGCAGTAGTGCCTGGGCCTGGCTGCCCTCTGGGACCCACGTTGGCCTGTCTTAGAGTCAGGCTGTGTGTCCCCAGGCACCTCTCTTTACCACTCTGGGGATAACACCTCTGGGCTTTCTAGAGTTAGAGGAGGTCACAGCCCCCGATGCCCCCCTTAAGTGCAGACAGCCTACGCCACGCAGTTTGACTGGCGCTGCAGCAACCATAATCATTCGTGCAACCCACACCTCAAGTGCCCAAGCGCCCACATCACCACTCTGGCTTCGCTGCATGTGTGTACTCAGTGAGTGAGTGAGAACGTGTAACACTGTTACGGACACAGCCTTGTGGTGCCTGCTCCTGCCCAGCTGTCAGCAAATCCACGTGTGGTGAGGCCAGGCTAAGCCACGAGGTCCAGGAGCTTAGGTCTATTAAATGCATTTTTGTCTTCAGATATTTTCAGCTTACGACAGGTTTACCAGGATATAACCCATAAATCAAGGCATGTCTGTATTGTTAGCATCACTATTTAATGGGTGGTGGTAGCAGGAGCCTGCTAGGCAGTTGGTACCAGGTCCATATTTGCCTGTTAGTTAAGTCACTTGGTCCTCAGCCTGCATTTCTTGGCCTTAAGGTAACACAAGGGCACTGCTCCCCTCCCATTCCTCCCACTTCCCCCACCCCCACCCAGTGCTCTGCTGGGCTGCCTCCCAGCTGTAGGGCCTGAGCCGCCAAGCCCTGCCTTCCTCCAGAAGCCTTTTGTGAACTGGATGTTAATGTGAGCTTAAGAGATCATCGTTAACAGTTGACAGGTCCCCCATTGATTAGAGCTTTCTTTAGGGGAAAAAATGGTCTCAGGTAGGCCCTGTAAGGCCACCACAAACCGCCCCCATCACCGGAGTAAAGGAAAGGGTTTATTGGGGGAAACGCAGCAGACCGGAGGGAAAAGGAGAGACGGAGAGTGTAAGAGAGAGATCAGGAGATGGAGAGCGAGCGAGCTACCTGTTCAGGAACAGGTCCTTTTAAAACTTTGCCAGGGGGTGGGTAGGGAAGTAGGAGCAGCGAATCTCATCAGGATGGGGGTGGAGCTGACACCTGTGGTTGGGCCATGTGGCCACCTGGCTTCCAGCAATGGCGGCAGGGCTAGAGTCTAGGATGTTGTCAGCGTGTAGATCGCACCATCAGTAAGACTGTACCATTTCCCTAACAGGCCCCCGGGGAGGGCTCGGTCATGCGGGTGCCAACTCAGCGCCCTGGTGGCTTTCCCTCTAGAACAGCCTCCCCTTGGCAGCATGAGCAGCAGCGGGCTCCAGCACTCAATACTCTGCAAATTAGTGTGTCCAGGACAGGCCAAGTAAGAGGGGAGCAGGTGGGCCAGGGTGAGGGGGTGGTCATTCAGCCAAGGCGTCGTTTGTTGAAGTGGAGCTACCCTCAATGGTGGGCCCGCCCCACAGTGGGTTTTTGTTTCCCTGCTGTTCTCATTGACTGGGAGGCACACTCCCCCTACAGCCCGGAAGAGCTGGCTGTCGTCAGGGCTCCGGAGCTGGGAGCCGGGACACCTGGTGGCCAAGCCCTTGGGCCTTGGGTCACATTCCAGTCCCTGGTGACAGCATCTGGATTGCTGGATTGCTCCGTTCTCTCTGCACTTTCAATCAAAAGCAGTTCCCAGCGTCCAGATGTTTCACCGTTGTCAGTTTTTTAGGTGTAATTGATTTACAGTAAAATACACACTTTTTTTCATTTGTATTTATCATTTTAAAACTGAAAGGCAAGGCGAGAGAGATCTCCCATCCGCTGGATTGCTGTCCAGATGCCTGCAGCTGCCGTGGCTCGGGTTAGGCCAGGCCGCAGCCAGAAGCCAGAAACTGAATCGTGGTCTTTCCTGTGGGAGGCAGGGGCCCACGTACTGAGTCATCGCCTGCTGCCTCCCAAGACTGCCTTAGCGGAAGCTGGGTCAGAAAGGGAGCCAGGCAGGACTGCAGCCCAGGGACTCCGGCACGGGATGGTGGTAGCCAAGCTGTGTCTCGATGGCTGGACCCCGGAGTCCTTCCTGGTCCCCACTCCATCGCCACACCTGCCCGGCAAGCGGCTGCGACTCTGCCTGTTTCCAGCATTTGGCTCTTCCTCAGAGTGACTTGAACCGTAGGTCAGGTCGCGCCGTGTGGTTCTGTTACTCGGCCGCCACACTGGCTTCACCAGGGGTGAGGTCCCAGTCCTCTCTGTATGGGAGGCCACTGTTTTGGGCTTAGCTCCTGGGCTGCAGCTGAGCAGAGCGGAGTGGAGCCACTCGTGCCGGATGCGCAGGGTTCCGGGGGCAGGTGTCGGCACAGGGATGCCCTGTCCCGTACCAGAGTGCCTCGTTTGTGTCCTGGCACCTCTGCTTCCAGCCCAGCCTCCTGCCAACACACACCCTGGGAGGCAGCCGGTGACGGCTCACGTACCTGGCTCCCTGCCGCCATGAGGGAGACCTAGGTGGAGTTCTGGCCTCCTGACTTCGACCTGACTCAGCCCTGGCTGTTGAGGGCATCTGGGAAATGAACCAACAGATGGAAGATTCTCTCTACTGTCTTTCACATAAAATGAAAATAAAACAATTTTTTAAGTGGGCCAGTTTTAAAAACCAGGGGATTTCGCAGCAGCCATTCGAAAGGGGCCCAGTCTACCTGATCTGTGGCTAGGAAGCTCCCTCTGCTTCAACCCTGGAAAGGGAATAACTTTGAAAAGACCACAGTCTGTGTTTTATTCTCTGCTTCTGCTTCTTCAGCCCCACCCCTCTGCTCAGCTCTCTCAGGCTCACGGCAGGAGTTCATAAATCTCTAATAAAAGCCAGCTGGGGCTTTAAAACGCAGTCTGTTAAGGTTCTGTTAACACCTGCACAGTAGCCTCCTTCCCTCCAGCCACACACACCCGCCCTCTCCACAGAGTTCCCTTAGGGGCTCCTTCCAGCTCTGCTCTCCCACCCCCACCCCGTGCCTAGATAGAGTAATTTTTTTAATTTTTCCGAAGATTATTTATTTGAAAGGCAGAGTTACAGAGAGGCAGAGGCAGAGAGAGAAGTCTTGCATCTGCTGGTTTACTCCAAGTGGCCGCAATGGCCAAAGCTGGGCCGATCCAAAGCCAGGAGCCAGGAGCTTCTGGGTCTCCCATGCAGGTGCAGGGGCCCAAGTAGTTGGGCCATCTTCTACTGCTTTCCCAGGCCACAGCAGAGAGTTGGATTGGAAGTGAAGCAGCTCGGACTAGAACCAGCACCCATATGGGATGTTGGCACTGCAGGTGACGGCAGATGGAAGACCTCTCTGTTTCTGCCTCTCCTTCTTTCTCTGTGTAACTCTGACTTTCAAATAAATAAATCTATCTAAAACACACACACACACATTGCTAAGTACTTAAAAAAAAAAAAAAGCAGTTCCCAGCACTTGGCAGGTGCTCTGTTGTTACCTGTTGAATGCATACACGGTATTGCTCCTGGGCGAGCAGCACACCAGTGGTTGAAGATGGCGCTGAGCGAGGGCAGGTAAGTGACTGTGGCTGAGGGGACTGGCTGGCTCTGAAGCCCAGACAATTGAATAAGACGTGCAGACCAGGATGGGGGAATTTTATTTGTATTTACAAAGGAAAAAGCAGGTCAGACATGAAGCAGGATTAAGTGGGTCAGGTTGTGTTTGGGCTGCAGGCAGCCAAGCCTGGGGCGGAGTCGTCATCCTTGGGAATCCCTGTTGCAGAAAGAAAATAAGGCTCAGCCTAGGGGGGTGAATGTGAGGCGGGGGGAGTCGCCCACAGGTGCCAGCCACACGCACTTGGCCCCTACTCTGCCCTCCCTGCTCCTGTGCTGCTGATTAGGCTGGGAGAAGGTGGGAAGCGTGTGCAGAGCCCTGTGGGGAACTGGCTCACTTACAGGCCTGGCGGAGTCACACCGGGACACGCCTGAGCTCCTGAGTGGAGTCAGAATCTAAAAGTCAGCTCTGCGGGCCTGGAGGAGGCCCAGCAGTCCCTGCCTTGGGGCCTGTGGCCGCGTCTCCTTAGCCTTACTTTTCCTCTTCTGCAAAATGGGACAGCTCGTGCCTGCTCTTCCCTGCCTTGCAGCAGGAACCTGAGGGCCGTGAGGTGGGGAACGGCAGTCCTGCCTGCCTGTCCCTCTGTGTCAGTGTGTCTGCCATGGGGCTGGGGAGGCTGGCTTTCGGGTTCTGTGACATTGGCAGGGCACCCAGGGCCGGCACATCCCTCCCATTTCATTGACCACACCAGAGTCCCCTGGGACACTTGGGAACATTCAGGGTTCTGCATCCCACCCCAGCACCATCGAGTGAGTGACAGACACACAGAGGCCACGCTCAGCTGGGAGACGCCCTGGAGCCGCGACAGTGGAGGCGGTGCGCGCCTTGCTCCCCTGCCTCTGCTTCACGTGGGTCAGGAGGGACCTCGTCCTCCCTTTGCCGGGCGGAGGGGAAGGAGTCCTTGCCGCTTCCTGGCAGCTGTGGAGAAGGGCGTCTCTGGGGCCCCAGACACGCGCGGCGACCCCCACCTGTGCTGCGGCAGGGCCGTGGGGACGCTCTCCGGAGCTGCCCGCTTCTGCTCCGCCCACTTCTGCTCCGCCTGGCGCCCAAGCCGTCCTCTTGCTCCTGGCTCCTGGTGTCTGTCTCTGGCAGGTTAGGAAAAGAAAAACGGGAGGCTGCGGTTTGGGCACGATGTGGCGAGGCAGGGGGGGGCTCCTAGTGCCTATCCCAACACGAGGGGACTTCAGACAGACCATGGAGCTAAAAATACATCGATTTTGGTGCATCCATGGGATCTTCAAAAAGTTCATGAAAAAAATGTGTACTGGGAAAGAATCATGCATGGATTTCAAAATTTTTACTCCAAAATGCACTTACCTTAAAATTTAAAAAATACTAACTTATATGAAAGAGAGAGAGTGTGCTCCAATCTGCTGGCTCACTTCCCAGATGCACACACCATCCAGGGCTGGGCCAGGCGGAAGCCAGGAGCCGGGAACTGAATCCAGGTCTCCCACGTGGGTGGCAGGAACTGACAGCTGCTGCCTCCCAGGACATTAATTAGCAGGAAGCTGGAGTCAGGAGTGGAGCCAGGACTCAAACTCAGGCACGCTAATGTGGGCTGCAGGTGCCCCACGTGGTGTCTCAACCACCAGGCCAAACGCCTGTCCCTAGCTTGATCTTTTAATTCCACTTTTCCCACGGTCTTTTTGAAGTACCCCCGGAGCTGGTGTGGGCTCTCCTACCCCGCTGAATTAGACTCAGCCAGAGGGAGGCAGAGTACAAGGGCACTCCCAAAAGCTTGTTTAAAATGGAAAGAAAAGGTAAGTTTATCTTGGTGCAAAAAATCCCGACATCCACGCAGAGCATTCATGATACACATTTCCTGTAGTTTTTGAACACCTTGCCTGTAGAGTAGTGAGAAGAGGCAGGTGTAATGCCCCCACCACAGGTTCGTAATTGCAACGGGAAAAATGGACCCTGAGCTGGGAAGAGATGTGGCAGACACCGCAGCACCCCGTGACCAAAGTCCTCACTGAGCACGGGATGAGTCGATGTCCTGTGCTGCCCGACACGGGGCGCCAAGAAAAGCACATTTTGTGAGCGCACAGCCTGAGGCTAATCGTGAGGACACAGCCAGCAAGTTCATGACCAGGGGCATTCCACCCATCACTGGCCTTTACTAACCAAAGATGGCAACCCCACGGAGGACACAGGAACTGTTCCACCTTAAGAGAAACGAAACATGACAGCCGACAGGAGCCCATGATCCTGGGTTGGATCCCGGATCAAGAAAAAAAAAAACTGGGCCAGTGCCGCGGCTCACTAGGCTAATCCTCCACCTAGCGGCGCCGGCACACCAGGTTCTAGTCCCAGTCGGGGCGCCAGATTCTGTCCCCGTTGCCCCTCTTCCAGGCCAGCTCTCTGCTGTGGCCAGGGAGTGCAGTGGAGGATGGCCCAAGTGCTTGGGCCCTGCACCCCATGGGAGACCAGGAGAAGCACCTGGCTCCTGCCTTCGGATCAGCGTGGTGCGCTGGCCGCAGCGCGCCGGCCGCAGCAGCCATTGGAGGGTGAACCAACGGCAAAGGAAGACCCTTCTCTCTTTCTCTCTGTCTACTCTGCCTGTAAAAAAATAAATAAAAAATAAAAAAAAACTGTTGTGCAGAGGTTAGGCCACCACCTGTGGCACCAGCATCCCCTGTGGGCTCTGGTTCAAGTCCCGGCTGCTTCACTTCCAGTCCCGCTCCCTGCTAGTGGCCGGGAAAGCAGCAGCAGCAGATGGCCCAGGTGCTTGGGCCCCTACCACACACATGGGAGACCGGGATGAAGCTCCTGGCCTCCGGCTTGGGCCTGGCCATTATGGCCACATGGGGAATGAACCAGTGGATGGAGGATCTGTCTCTCTCTCTGTGCAACTCCGTTTTTCAAATAAATAAGTAAATCTTTAAAAAGAGATTGTTATAAGGGACAGTTGGTGGAATTTGAATATAAGTGATCATTTGCTGTGATTGCACAAGGGGCTGTGTTGGGAGACACACGCAGAAGTTCCTGAGGGTCAAGGTCACGGTGGCGGCGATCTGCTCTCAGCTGGTACGGCATGAACGGTGATGACAGTAATGATAAATGTGCGTGTGGATCTCTAGCTGTCGATAAGGAGACACAGAATGTGAGGAATTGCTGACCGTAGGGAAGGAGGTAGGGACATCCACTCTACTGTGATTGCATTTTTAAGAAATGTTTGAATTTTAGGCTGTGGAGCCAGGCCCTTGGGGTGCCAGCCCCGCCCCTCTCTGTTCGTGTGTCCTTAAGCGGCTGGCTGTCGTGGGCCCCGCGTAAAGCAGGTAGGAGTCCCTGCCTGCTCACTGGGGTCCTCCAAAGATCAGATAGGAAGGCGAGAACCCGGCTGACGGTGGCCGTGTGCCCAGCACGGTACATGTCTGCAGCGGTCCTGACCGGGTAGCACAGTGAGCGCCGTGGCTGGAGGAGCAGGCAGCCGGTACGGAGGGGCTGAGGTCCGGCATCGGGGCCTTTGCTACGGGGAGTCTGGCAATGACAGGCACTGGGCCAGGAAAGACCCCAAGCCTGGTCCCCAGCTGCTGCGTGGGAGCTGCCTCACTCTGCCGCATGGGAGGGGTTGGGGGAGAGAGCGCAGAGCCCAGGCTTACCCCTGCTGCCTGCTCAGGATGTCCTGGAGCAGCTGGCGGGCAGACAGCTGGCCCAGCACCTTCCGGTAGCTGTTAGTGAAGATGGCATCTGCGTAGCGCTGCATCCTGTGTGGCAAGGGTCAGAGGTCAAGGGACGGTCAGGGCCCCGTGCTCACGGTGGCTCTGCAAGGCCCTTCTGTTGTCCTGGGTGGCCTCTTGAGCTCAGTGACAAGGTGGGTGCACTTGGAGAAACAGCCATGCACCAGCTGATGGCTCCAGCATGCATCCTCCCATCCCCCCCCCACCGCCGTGGCAGGCATGGCCTGGGGGGAACTGGCTGCTTACCTAACGGGTGTGGAGGGGGGCAGGGAGCAGTGGGAGCCGCTGCTGACGGTGAGGAGCACAAAGAACAACACCCAGAGTGGCATCGTTCCCCTGTGGGGCGGCACCTGCTGGAGAACAGGTGGGGAGGGTCAGGCGCAGCCACAGCCGCGGGGTGCCCTTTGCTGCCGGGGCCCAGCCCTGGGCTCCACTGCATCACAAGCTTTGGTCCTTATCCTTTGGATGCTGTGGGGCAGGAAAAAGACCCTGGACTCTGGAAGACAAACTGTCTCGGGCTCCAGTTCTGCCTCTGCCAGTCACTAGTGCTGACTTCATTTTCTCCATCTGTAAAATGGGCATTATACAACGACCTGGTAGCCTTAGAGGGCTTGAACAGGACACCGACGATGGTAGTGGAATGCCCCGGCTGCAGGCACTCCAGGTAGAATCAGGCCTCAGCAAGTATGTGGGAGGAGAAGGCAGCTTCCCTCAGAACCCTGGAGTCGCCTGCAGCCCGTGTGGCAGCGGCAGCGGCAGCGGCTCTGAGTCGGAAGTGTGAGGTCAAAGCCTGGCTCTGCCGTCACTCGCCGCGTGTCCCAGGATGAGCCATGTCCCCCAACCCTGAAATGGAGACGGTCACGATGCCTTCTGCCCCAGGTCTGTGGGACGGTCGAGTGAGAAGAGACACTGAGGGAATGCTCTAGAAACCTCCAGGGTGGTCTCGGTACAGCCCCTCAGAGGGCAGACCTGCCTGTTTTTTTTCTGTGCGGAGCTGGAAGGAGAAAGCTCCCAAGTCTGGCTGCAGACGCTGAGATGCGCTGAGGAGTTTCTGTCCCGGATGTGCGACCAGGAGCCGGCTACACCAGAAGGGCTGCCTCTGCCTGCCCCCTGGGGAATCTGCTGGCCTTGACGATCCGGGCCACCTCAGAATCAGGTCTCTGCCTCTCCCTGGGCATCCCAGTCTCAGCAGGACATCTGCACGGGGACACAGACCCAGCCAGAGGCCCAGGCAACCCCAGAGAGGGGCAGCACCCGCCCCTTCCCACGACCCTGACTCCTGCCTTCTCCCCCGTCCCACCGAGGGGAGCCTTCCCACAGGCAGACCCCACACCACTGGCAGCCACCTTGACCCCAGGACGTCACCTCCCAACTGTAGACCCTGTGGTCTTTACCAGCCCAGGCCCGCCACGTATCACCAGGGAGCACCCACAAGGGACTGCACACCGTCCCCACCTCCAGAGCTGGAGAGAGCAGCTATCCATGCCTCAATGGCCAGCCCCTCCCTCCAGGGCACCGCCCCTTCCTCCAGTCCTCCAGTTCCCGCTCCAGAGAGCACTTGTCACCAGTGAGTGACAGGGAGCTCACTACCCCCATGCTCATCTGTCTTATTGCCAGGCAGTTTTATCATTACGACATTTTCCTCATCCTCTCAAGCCCAAATCCCTTTTATCCTGCGAGTATCTGTGGAGCCCCTACTATTTTGGTAAAGACTGGGGCTGGAGAAAAGGCGAGAACCTGCTCTCTGTCCCAGGGCTGCCTCTGTCACCCTCACCTGCTGCGGCACTGAGCTCCTGCACCTGCACCCACAGGCCGAGCCCCGCAGGTGCATGTCACACCTCACGTGGGCCTTGGTCCCCAGACCAAGGCTCTGCAGTCCCGGGCTCCCCAGGCTGCCCCTCCAGAAATGGGGTTTCCTACGCAGGGGGCTCTGTGGCACTGAGGGGGGCCCTCTGCTGTCTCCCAGCTGCAGCCTGGCTTTCTCGCCTTCTGTGCCACTGATCTCTAAACGATTTGGATGGATCCAGGCCCTGACGACCACACTCCCCTGTGCAGATGTGCTCGGCTCCGCACTCCCCCAGGACGAAGCCCAAACACCTCCCCCCCGGCTTACCTGCTCCCTCTGCCTCCTCACCCTGGCCCCTCTCTCCCTAGAGCTGCCACAGGGACTCACAGTCCCTGCTGCCTCCCCGGCTGCACAGCCCACCGTCCCCGCCCCCACCCCCACCCCCACCCCCACCCCCAGAGCAGATATCACCACCCTCAATTCCTTTTCTCCCTGGCCTCCATCAGATCGGTTTCTGAGCGGGTCCTACAGAATGGCTGCCCGGACTCCCAGGCCGGCAGACCCCCCTTCTGCTCCCGCAGCACCTCCCAGGTACAAAACCCTCTTCACGGCCGCTTTGGAATTGATCACCTGCACACGTGGGAAGCATCAGAAAAAATAGAACATGTTTGCTCGTTGTCCCTGGGCCCCTGGGGAGAGGGATGGGGGGATCAACAGAACACCTGCTCGATCGGCACTCTCCTTCAAAGCCGGTGGCTTCAGGGAGTTGAAGAGAACCTTATAAGGGGGCTCCGAAGGAGGCTGCCTGCAGTCCAGTGAACCCAGAGGTTCAACATTTGCTGTAAACCAGTGTCCCCAGACAGGTCAAGATGTCACAGCTGCTCTGTGAACCTAATCCACGAGGTTGCAAAATCCCATTGGACAAAGAAAGGAAGGAGCAAGAATAATCCAGCTTTGGTAATGTAAGAACAGAGATTGCAACGCCAGGGACAGACCAGCTGTTGACACGCACACATCTCCCGTGACAATAGTGCTAAAATTCACTGAATTAAGTGTGGCGTGAACCCAGCGCGCCCTCACCGACAACTCCTGGGGAGCCTGGGTGGTTCTCGAGTCTATGGTGCACATCAGGAGTGTCAGTGAGCTCTCTGCAGGGCTTCCTGACTCTGCGACCTGGATCCATGATCAGTGTGCACTTGATCTACATCACTTGGTAGTATTTTGCCAACCCTCAGGCCCCCAAAATTCTGCGGCTACACCTTCAGCCAATGACAGAAGTCTCAGGCGCCCAAAGTTGCAAGGCCACTTTTGAAAGTCTAGGGGGGAGGCCAGTGCTGTGGCGTAGCAGGTAAAGCTACCACGTGCAGTGCCACCATCCCATGTGGGCGCCGGTTTGAGTCCCGGCTGCTCCACTTCCTAACCAGCTCTCTGCTATGACCTGGGAAAGCAATGGAAGATGGCCCAAGCTCTTGGGCCCCTGCACCTGCATGGGAGACCCAGAAGAAGCCCCTGGCTCCTGGCTTCGGATCAACGCAGCTCTGAGTGTTGCAACCACCTGGGGAGAGAATCAGTGGATGGAAGACCTCTCTTTCTCTTTCTCTGTCTGCCTCTGCCTCTCTGTAACTCTGCCTTTCAAATAAATAAATCTGAAAGGCAGGAAGGCAGGAAGGCAGGAAGGCAGGAAGGCAGGAAGGCAGGAAGGCAGGAAAAGAAAGAAAGAAAGAAAGAAAGAAAGAAAGAAAGAAAGAAAGAAAGAAAGAAAGAAAGAAAGAAAGAAAGAAAGGAAGGAAGGAAGGAAGGAAGGAAGGAAGGAAGGAAGGAAGGAAGGAAGGAAGGAAGGAAGGAAGGAAGGAAGGAAGGAAGGAAGGAAGAAAGAAAGAAAGAGAAAGAAAGGGAGGGAGGGAGGAAGGAAGGAGGAAAGAAAAGGAAGAAAGAGAGAGAGAGAAAGTCAGTCTAGGGGGCAGGAATCTTGGAGGGTTCTTTAAAAATCTGCTTAGGAATTTGTGAGCCCGACGGCGGGGGTAGCCTGAGCTGGTTCAGAGTCCCGGCGGTTCAGCCCAGCAGTGGTTCAAGTCGAGGGGCACCTAAGCACCTGGCACTGTCATTCCAAACAGGGCCTCCCGCCTCCTTCTGGGGCTGGCGACACAAACACTGCAGGACCAGTCCAGCAGGGATGGGGAGGCGGGGTGGAGGGGGGCTGCGCGGATGGCTAACTGGGTCTAAAATCTCGAGGAAGGAACGCTGCACCTACAGCAAGAAGCAACATGTCACCCACTTCCAGGCAATTATGCTGAATTGGCTCTGGGCGACTGATGGCGGTACTTCTCCGCTCCAGTACTTGGCTCCTCTCTGATCCCTGGCCGTGGTCTCGCCTTGACGGGAGGATCCAGCCAGCTCAGGTCTCGCCCTTGCAAACTGCCCCTACACCCAGGAAGGAGCGCTGAGCCCGCCCTTGCCTGCGACAAGTCTGCCTCTCACTTCTCCAAGAGCAATGTGTCCAAGACAATCTCCAGATGGCACCAACCATGACAAGCAGCCTCCATATTCCCAGGAAGCCATGATTCTATCCTGGGAGACCAGCTCTACCCCCCCCCCCCGTGGTGTCTCCCAGTTGGGGAGAGGGTCAGGTTTCCTCCCCAGGCCCACCCCCTCTCACCTCCGAGGTGGCAGGTCTCCTGTGCGCAAGGCACTGCTCTGGTCGCTCAGCCCTCGGGCTGGGCGGCGGCTCTGGTGGCTGCGTGGCGGTCCCCGTCGTTTATGGCTTCATTTTCCTAAGTGTCGTCAGCGTCAGAGAATCAATTACCCACAAGTCCACCAGGCACCATTTGTAGCATCACACCGACGAGCCGGCCTTGGCAGGGGAGAGAGGTGTCGCCCCTTGCACGTGGAGACTCACGGGAATGTTCGTTCGTTCTGTGAGCGGCCACTCGGGTACCAAGTTGCTCCATTCTTCCGAGGAGCGCAGAGGTCTGACGCTGCCCCTCTAGCCAGCGGGGGCTCCGAGGCCAAACGTTCATCTGCTCCCTGAGAGAACTGCCTTTTTCAAAGTTCATGTCATTTTCGTTCATCCGCGGGCAGCTTGACTTCACGTGGGGTAGGCAACGCTGCCGATGTGTTTTGCTCTGCAGAGTGAGGGAGATCATTTGCTAGCTCCCTCGTGGTGCAATTATCAGAATTTCCCTCTACGTGATTGACGCCGGCTGTGGCCGCAGTCCTGTCTCCCAGCAGCTGGCCCGGGAGCATCCGTTGTCCTGTGTCAGGGCAGCCCAGTCCCAGCTGCCTTGGAGGAGTGTGAGGGAAGAGGAGGCAGCTGGGAAGCCTGAGCAGGTGGCTGTGTCTCCAGATCTCTCCAGCCCCGCAGCCAAGGAGCCCTCACCGATGACATCAAAGCGGGCGAGGCAGGTGCTGTGGTGCCCTGGGCGGCTGCCTCTCCTGAGCCTGGTGCCGCCTCTGTGGCCCTCAGCAGGTTCCTCCTCCCCTGTAGGCTGGAGAGCTGGCACTGAATGGCAACTGTGGAACTTTATAAAAAGTGGCACAGGGGTCGGTGCTGTGCATAATAGGTT